AAAGAAATATATCTTTAAAAAAAAAAAATCCTAACCAGGGAAAACTACTTCTTTGGAAAGGGCTGTACAGGAAGTCCTGCCGTTTGTTTGTTTTTCTAACGGGCCTCTCCTCCAAACCCACGCTGCAGGAAACAGTCCTGGTCTCCAGCATCCCTTGCCGTGTTTCCATAATGTGTGTGTGTGTGTGTGTGTGTGTGTGTGTGTGTAATAAAGAACGTGCCCCACCCAGCTGGTCGAGAAAGGCTTCCCTAGTTCAGCAGCTTACTTAGAACTGCTGGCCTACAGTGGCTTGCAAACAGCCGGCCACAGGAAACGGTTCCAAGAACACGTCCCATCTATATTCTACAACTGTGCGCCAGTGCTAACCAGGATGCCAGCCAGTTGCCAGTGCCCTTTTTGAGCATCCTCCATTCCACCCCAATCCGATTTTCTCCCACCCCTGCCCAAAACTCTATCCCCAGTGGGTTCAATGGCTCCCTCGTCTTGGAAGTCCTTAACTGTACATCCATCTGCAAGTCCACTATGCTTCTCCTTGATCTGTAGATAGGGAAGATTGAGTAATGGAATTTCTTTTCCGGAGACAGCCAAAACGGATTGGGGCACTCCAGGCATAGTGGACCCCAGCTCACATGTCACATGTCAGCAAAGTTCACCACACAAAGTGTTAACGTCACTTCATAATGCACTGGTAAGATCACACTTGGAATATTGCATCCAGTTTTGGTCGCCACGGTATAAAAAAAGATGTTGAGACTCTAGAAAGAGTCCTGAGAAGAGCAACAAAGATGATCAGGGGACTGAAGGCTAAAACAAGTCAGCTTACAAAATGTTCTGCACCACAATAAGAGTGTGAGCGGGGCTGAGGCAAACCTGCATGCCCAACTCTTTTTATATGAGCGCGGCAAAAGTGTGATTCTTTTATCATCATAAAATGCAACCTGATTTATTTGCCAAATTGAGAAGGCTTGCCCAACTCTACAAAAACTTTGCTATCTTAGTATTTTTGAAATTGTATACTGCCCCAAAGAAAGGATTCTGTAAATTCAGAAAACATTCAGCGTAACCTACTTGGTTTCAGTTTAGGGTATTCTGTGAATGCATCCATTTGAGGCTTATAAATCATTATTTGTGGTTTAGCACAACGTTAGTTCAATAAGCAAACCACAATTTCATACAACGAAGGAACAAATCTCTGTCAAATCTGCCTGATGTACTAATTCTACCCAGGCACAGTTGGCCGGATCTGTGCACCAAGCTAAACCATCTATCATGGCTTAATTACCACAAAGCTTGGACATGCACACCCTAATAAACCAAAGCTATATATTCCATCTTATGGCTCAGCCAATGACATTCCAATATATCAAGGATTTTTTTCCTTCTTATTTCCTATTTCATCCTATAAAACTGGAAGTGCCAGGAATTAAACACAGAACCACAAATATGGAAGATATACTATTTGGCCATCAAGCTCCATTGCTTCCCTCTCTGTGGGCATACATCTTTATATAATCTGAAGGGCTAGAACTAGGAGGAATCAAGGATAAAAAAATAATACAAAGGTGCCGAATTCTACCTCATGTTATAGAATCATAGGGAATAAAAATAATCCATTGGTGCTTTTCCACAAGCCTTCCTTCCTTGGTTCTGACCTTTGTAAATGATACACACCAGTTCCTCAGGCTAGAAATAGATCCAGGTACCATAGATCCAACAGAGAAGGAACAGATTTTATTACCAAGCAATTATTACGTTTCAAATGCTGATTCATGACAGTAATAAAAGAACTGGGTGTTAACGATTCTTTTAAAACAAATCATTTAAATGCCAACAGATCAAAACATTTAAAAGATGGGAGGAGGGAGGGAAGACTCCACCTTAAAGGACTTAAATTAGGAGCCTTCATATTTCAACTCATAGTTCATGGCATTCATATATAATAAGCACAATCTGATCCACTTTACTGGGAAAGGTACTTCTGGAAAAGTCACAACTAAAAATAAACTAACAGCTATCTTTTGTTTATCCCCCCGCATCTGGAATCATTTTCTATGTCTAATCCCTCTTTCATCAAATAATGTCAATAATCACTGAGAGAGATTTCCTTTATAACTGTGTCCAACCCATTATTTAAAAAAAAAAACACCAATTAAATAATTTGTGTTGAAAGTTCTTTAAGCTAGATTGAACCCTAATTTAGAACACTGAAAAATACTGTATGTAAAAAATGGGAAAATTCAGACCAGGATTATCATGTGTAAATTTATAGTGTAAACCACCTGGGGCAGATATATAGCTATGATATTTGGGCACTTGCCAAGGTACAAATTCAGATCAAGTCCAGTTGGGGAAAAAATGTATTTCAGAAATAGTCTGAAGGTTGAATCGTGACAACTGGATTTTGTTATTGTTGTTGTTGTTGTTGTTAGTTTGAGATATTTCGCTGCATCTTCAACACAATATTGCAACTCACTTTGGAGAGGAGACCCCTGAGGTTGATGTGGGAAGAGTTGGTACATTCTAACGACTCTTCCTAACTAACGAGCTCCGACTGATGTTGATGCTTGGATGAGCAGTGGAACGTCTCCAACTAACAAGAAAAATAAGTTCAGTTGCCATGACTCAACCCTCAGACAACTTTAGCTGGATGACTGAGAATCTTCATCAAAACATTTCAAAAGTAAAGAACAATCAGCCAGGTAACCAAGGTGAGTTATGAGACTAGAAATAAAGCTACAGTCAGAGAAATAAATAAGAAAGGCAACCTTTTCCCGCTATAGATGGGACTCTCATGGGAAGCTTTTACAGGGGGGGAAAAAAAGCACTTTTGTGCTTTGCTTAGCAACAAATTTTGGGCTCAAAAAGTCGAAGACTACCTGTATATGTACAATTGATATTATCTCTAACCACAGACATAATCAGGGAAATTCTCCTCCTTTGCTGCTGTGCAATTAACAAAGGTTGAACTTGGTAAAGCCCTTTCCTCAGTACCGTATACCAGGGGTCCCCAACCCCCAGGGGCCACTAAACAAGGGAAGCCCCATCCACGGGATGCAGGCAGTACATGAAACCACGCCCCCTCCATGGAAAAACCTTTCTCTGGGGAACCGGTCTCTGGTGCCCAAAAGGTTGGGGGCCACTGCCTATACAGCTTGGTGATCTTAACCTCTTAGCCATCTCTTCTCCTGCACAATAAACAGTTAACAAAAGCCTTGGAACAGGACACTCAAAGTAAACTTTTGGAACTGAAGTGTTCAGTTTTATTCCCAGCCTTCCCAGGAGACCATCACAAGATCAGCCCTGCTAGATCAAGCCAAAGTCCACTTAGTCCAGCAGTTCTGTTTTTTACTATATCCAACCAGGTACTTTTGAGGTGCTCACAAAGGGGTGTCAGAGACATTATCCTCTCTCACTATTGTTCTTCTGCAACTGGTATTTACAGGCACTGTGCTGCTAATGTCAAAATGACATTAAGGCACAGCCTTTCTCCCCTCTTTGCTTCTTTTATTAAGAAGACACAACCCTTCTTGGGGTTTTCTCTTCCCTTTATACTATTACATTTAACTATTTTTTAAAAATTTATAATGTTGCAAGCCTGGCTGACTCTCTCTCTTACATAAAAGTCACTCCCAGTCTTTGAAACATAATTATCACTCAATAGAAATCCCAATGCCCCAGCCATCTATCAATGGCCAAAACAAGAATGTTTTGTAGCCCCAGAAAACTGCTCTGACATTTTCAGCTATTGTCATCTTTACCCCACGACAAATAAAAATCCAACCTTTTAAGCACAACACTCCTACGCTATTAATGCCATTAAGAGGTAACCAAGACACCGAAGCCAAAACAAGCACCGCTATTTCTTAATATGAAACACCAATCTCGAAACATCACACGTTGGAAGAAGATAATCAGTATGATCCAGAGACTCCAATTCTCTTTAGCAAACTAAGTTTATTTATTGCCCCTGCTTGGACAGCATCACCCAGACAGAAAAGAAAGACAAAACCAAGAAAGAAAAGGAATACAAAACCTTGTGCTGAGTGAATGATGGGTATCACAGTGTCATTCTCTCTCTCTCTCTCTCTCTCTCTCTCTCTCTCTCTCTCTCTCTCTCCCCCCCCTTCTAGGAAAAAAAAATCAGTAGCACCTAAATATTTCCCTAGTATCAAGTCTTTATAGCAAGAGCAAATAAATAAATCAATAGGCCTAACTGGCAACTCAGAAACAGAAACTGGCAGCAGAAAAGTTGGTCCTGCACGGTGCTGCATACCTGGCATTTGAAAACTAAACTTCAGACTGCTTTGGCGAGAGGTGGAGTAAAGGGACCCCCCCCCCCAACCACTCACAGGATTGCCTCCCAAAATTTTCATAATTCTAGGCCATCAGAGTGTCACATATGCCCAGCTTCTGTCCAGGGCCTCCTACTTCAGAAAACCTAAGCTCCACCTCTTTAAATTTCATATTTCTGCCCTTGCCATCTGAACATGCCCACCTTTGTCAGTGTGACTCAACGTAGCTTTCTTTCCACGTGTTTTATCACAATTTCAATTCAGCTGCCGTCAAAGACTCTTGACGACTTAGGTAGAACATAAGAGGACGTTAAATCTGATCCCAGAGGTTCACATATCCCATTTTTAGCTGGGACTTGTTTATTGACCAGGAGCACAGAAAAAAGACTGTCTTCTGTAAAACATGACATTTGATGTACAGACTTTTTTTTTCCAAAACAGGAAAGAATTACACACAGATTCAGAGCAAGCATATAATTTGGTCTTCCCCATGGGGTATAAACAGGTGCATGGCAAGGAAGCTCCGTAAAAACCAAGCAGATTTGCCCCCACCCCTAAAATGTTAAGAAATACACTCTTGAGGCTTGTTAAAACCCAGGCAGGGGATGCCAGATGTTCTCAAATGCCAGCAAAACCAGGTCAGTTACAATGCTTAGCAACCCCCTGAAAAAACCTTATAATAAAAACAATAAGGCAAGACCAACCTACCCAAAATCCTGGTCCATCGACTTGAAGAAAAATTTGTAGCTATGCACCGGCCGGTTGCTGAGGACATTTTTAAAATCCGCCAAAGTGACTTTTTCCGGAGAAACAGGCAATTTCACCAAATAAGGGGTCTCCTCTTCATCGATATGGTAAATTATTTTTGTCTCCGCCATGGAAGAAGGAAAGGAGGGAGGGTGGGTGGAAAAGGGAGGGGGAGGGAAGAGGGGAAGGAGAAAAAGGAGGAGAAGGGTAGAGGTTTGGTAAAGAGAGGAGCGGCGTGGGGTGAAAGGATCGAGAAAGGGGATGGAAAAGGGAGAGAAAAGGAGGGGCGGGGGAAATAAATCAAGGCCAAGTTCAAGGTGCCAGTCCCTCGGAGTCTTCTAGGGGTTTTTTGTTTTTTTTTTTTAAACAAGGCAAGGTTGGTCTCCAAACAGGAAGGGAAAATGCCTGACTGCTACGGTAGCGATGCCTGCGCGGAAGGATTGAGGCGCCCCATAGCGCCCTCCAGCGGCTCAAGAGGAGAAAGGGGGCTCGGCCAGGCCTCCCCGCAAAGCATTCTCCCCTCTCTCTAGAGGGGCAGCGGCTGCATTAAAATTGTACCCAAAAGACTCGGGGGGGGGGGGGAGATAGGAGCGCAAGAGAGAGAAAGTGGACTTCAAAACGAAACGAAAGCAGCTGCTATTTCTCTTCTTCCTCGGCCGAGTTCCCTTTGCTGCCTTCACAGCGAAGCAAGCATAAGCGGGACACGGCCGACCGCAATATTGCGAGGCTAACAAATGAGCAAGGCAGCTTGGATTGGATGGGGGTGGGGGTGGTTGTGGCTTTGGGGGGGAGAAAGACAACCCCCGAAGCTGAACGGATAGAGCCGAAGAAGGCGAGCAAAAGCAGCGCTTGGCTCGCTCGCTCGCTGGCTCTCCTTCCAAAGCCCTCCTTTCTCCTTGGCAATCTCCTCTCCGCCCAACCCAGTTTAAAGGGACCCGATTTTATTTAGGGTTTTGGTTTTTTTTTTGCAAGCGAGCGAACGCGCACACATACAAAAAAAAAAGAAAAAGAAAAAAAAGAACAGCCCATCTCCTCTGGGCAAAAGGCTCCGCGTCATTACGCACGCGCGGAGGCTCTAATCAAAAGGACAGGCGGGGGCTTCCGATTCAGACGTGCACGCGCTCCAGAAGGGGGCCGCTTTAAGAAGCGGGGAGAGCAGCCCCCTTCTCCTCCTCCTCCTCTGCAGAGCTACCCAATGGAATCGCTCCTCGGAGGTCACGTGCTGCCTACACCCCCCTTCCCTAGTGGGATGGGAGTTCCTGGGAAGGGTGACAGAACGCCTGGGGTTTTTTGGGGGGGGGAGACCTACAAGGACAAGCGGGGCAGAGGAGCCCACTGTGGACGCCGGGGACTACAAATCCCCTTGTCCCCAGTCGGCGGGGTGGAGGAGCCCCCCTTCCTCTCCAGGGGCTGGGAGGCGAAGTAACTCCGATTGTCATACGTGGATCTTCCCAGACCTTAAAACAAGCACCAGGAAGATACCCTAATCACGAAATGAAACCGTGGTTCATTTCCATCCTGGATACCTCTGGATTCCGGTTTGTTTCCAGAGGGGGCTGCCTGGACACAAAGGGGGCCACTGCTAATCAGTTGGCCCTGGATGAAACCAGGTTTGCGATCTGTTTCCCCCAGTGGGTAACCAGATGCTGGGATTAAAAATCCCCAGAGCATTCTTCCCTTCCAGGTAAAGCCAGAGAGAACCTTTGGCCTTTAGGAGTTCATTTAATTCTGAGAGTTTCCGCACAGACAGAGCATACCCTACTCCCTCCTCATGCTGATGATGTTACCTAGCTGGGTCATGAAACGTCTGCAAAAAAAAACACAAAAAAAACCCTCCACCAAACCACTCGGAGCACCAAGGCCCCCACGTCTATTTGTTTTCCTATCAATCAGGCTCCCACGCTGATGAAACTTCCCACCATGCGTAATTTTTTTTTTTAAAAAAAAAACCTCTGGCATTTGGCCTCACCACAGCTGTTTTCATACATGGCACTAAAAGCCTCTGGTTTAATGTGTGGTATGAATGCAAGTGCTGTGGTGTGGAAACCAGGGTGCCTCTTTTCAGGGTCCTGAGCAAACTCAGTCCATGGCCAATTAGTAAACCACAGTTAAGCCCCTCAATCCCTGATCTTTGAAACCTGGAGCTGCCTTCAATTTTAATCCGGTTCAGAAAGGTTGTAGTAAGAGACATGGCCACTAGGGGGAAGCAAACCCATAGAACCAGTCTAGTTCTCTAGTACATCAGACAGCATAAAGAAAATTAACACAAACGTATCTATGAAATTGCTGGGAACAAGTCAAAAAGGGGCTTGATTTTGCTACCTCTGTGAAACCAGCGGTATGAGAAAGCAGATAATGCTAGCAATGAAGTAAGATTACTTATTAAATGACATTTTCACGGCTTTACAATTTGTAGCTGTCATAGTCTCATATACTGTGATTTTTTTAAAAAAATATTTATGTATAATTGCTGCCTATCAAGACAAGTTCTCTGAATGTCTCATAATGCAGAAACAAAAAAAAAATCACAATGTAATCAAAACAATTTTAAAAACCCAGCACAATACCCTCCCCTTAGCTGGGGAAAAAAAATTCAAATTACAGAATGCTTTAAATGACTTTAAGTACAGGCTGACATACAGCCAGTTGAAATTTTCTTTGCTGAAAATGTGAAAGGTCTGAAAGAAAGACAGCCTGGCAGTCATCATGATCGTCATGATGCTTGCAGTATAACCACCACCACCACCAGCTCTGGGAAGACCAGTGCAGAACAGAGATGCCACCACCAAAAAAGCCAAGTTCTTACTAGGGGTTTCACCGTGTTGGCTAATCAAGGGACGTGCACGGTATTTATACCGGTAAAACTTCCAACCAATGCAGAACTGCCTCCCTTGCCGATTGTTGCTATTATCACAAGGCTTCCCCAGACTCAAACTGAGTCAGAACAGCAGGATAAAGAAGCTATTCACCCCAGTGAACTTTCCAATGCCATTTCATGGGTGCTTTTTCCAAGTAGCCTATGCAGAAGTCAAACTTGGCATTTCGCCCCCTCAATACTGGACGTTGATATCTGCTCTGCAGCAGGCTGCTATGCTCAAGTTTTGTTCCCACGGCAACTCTCAGCCAGCTGGGGTGTGCGTGTGTGTCATAAGAGAATGTTCTCTTGGCTGAAAATGCACAAGGAAATACAGATTTCAGAGTTCCTGAAGGATGAAATCAAATAAAGCTGTCCTTTTGTGTTCAAAGGTCTTCCTTTCCTTTCCTTTCCTTTCCTTTCCTTTCCTCTGCTTTAAAAATTATTCCTTCTGAATAGCTGAATGTGTAAGTTATAGAATATCACATTTCCTCAAAAATTGCATTCCATTTTGATAAATGCTGTATTTTATTTGTTCATTGTTTCTTGAATTTGGCTTAAGCATGCAAACATTTGGAAGTCGTCTTTCATATTACTACTAGGGTGTAGCAATAAAATTTCTCCAGGTGTAAAGACAAACACATATAAATGATGGGCAGAGAGTAACAGATTCCTAATTTATAAATGATTGTTTGGAAAATCTGTATACTGAGGTCTCCCAAATTTGGTTTGGTGGCCTTTTTTTTTCCTTCTTCAAAGTTCAAGTTTTTAAACACAGGATTCCAAGTTTTTGAGGGGAGAATTAGGCAAATTACCTAAGGAGGCAGAGCCCAGACAAGATAAGCATAATGGGTCATTTTGCCTTGGAGTTAGCATATCACATAGATATCCAATACATTATTGCAAACAAGAATTCCATAGGTTTGCTAGAGAAGTGGCACTCTCTAAAGCTGGTGTTTTGAAGGCTAACAAGTTTTAATCTCAGCAGCTAATCGCTTGATTTCACTATGGACTTTTTTACAGCTTTTCCTCAGAGCACTGAAAGAACTCTATTTTATGAGCTGATTGTCAATGCAAAAAACAACAACACCTTTCTTGGCTGTTAACATTCTGTCAAATCACTGAAACAACAATTCTGTAGGATAGGCCAATACAACTGTCTTCATTTTGTTGATCTGGAACCTGCTGAAAACTACCTAATTGAATCTGGGCAAAGGAGTTAAGTAGCACTATGCACTGAAACGCTTCGTGGGAGATTTTATGACAAAATAGTAGCTCTCAAATTTCTCTGTTGACATTGATAGTATGTTCAAATACACTGATGCATATGAAAATGCTGTCCAGAATCCTCCAGGATCCTTTTCAGTAACTTAGAAAAGGTTACTAAGTGATTTTACGTGGCAGAAAATCAGTAGAAGAATACAAAATGTAACAGTACAGAAGTTACCACTTTGTAAGAGAAATATCCAAATGTCATACAGAAATAACAGCAATCCTTTTCTCTCTCCTCCCCCCCCCCCTTCTCCTCTAAGCAGTATTGAAGCCAGGCTGAGTTGAAAGAAAAATATTAACGTGGCAGAGAGATCAGATGGCCAAGTGACCCTATTTCAAATTCTGGATGGCAGGAGACGCTTGAAACAAGCCATAACAAGCGCAAGATACACACAAAATCTGTCTCCTCTGCTAAGTTCCTGGTTACATAAAAGCAAACAAAAAAACTCTTGTCCAAACATCAGTGAGTTTGCTTAGCATTTTATTAGCCAGATCAGGTAGCCGTTGTTAGCAATACCTCTTAAAAAGAGTTCTTCTCACCATGCCTTCTAACTGTGAAAGATCATCACGATTTTAGGGACCCTAGGAAAAATATTCCAGGCACACATATTGATCAGAGCCAGTCCCCCTCCCCCACTTTTTTTTTTTTTTTTTGCTAATAGCCTGTTTTATAGGCTTTTCTGCACCCAGTTTACTCTGAGCAGCTCAAACTCATTCTCTCAAAAGTTGTGTCCTTTCCCTCAATTCAGTAGAGGTCAAATATAGGGGGATGAATAATACAGTTTCACCACTACATATACATATGAAGACTGAGGGATCTTGAGTTGGAGGGACACCAGAGGTCAGTCGTTCCATTCTTCAGCTAAGTGATGGGAATCTAGAATCAAGGCATCCTCCCCCATCCTGGGAGATCTTACAGTTCTTGTACTGTTGTTTCATGTCTTGCTATGTCCAAGGATTACAATCAACCACGGAACCCATATTTTGTCATCTTTATGCAGCTGGAGATGGATGATTATCTGTCATAATCGCACGAGACGAGAGAAAATTGGGAGGAACAGAACCATCACCGAGTTGCAGTGAGCTTCCAAAAGAAGACTTCCATACAAGGATTCTGGTTCCTTTTCCAATCCCTGCTGCTCCTGAGCCAAATACTGGGGCATTCTCTACGGGATTCAAATAAAGGGAGTCGGGAAGACTTGGAAGAAGAGGCCTAGGTAGAAACTTCAGGTCCAATAGAGGCCATTCTTGTTGATTCAACAATGCAGGAAGGCCATCCCAGACTGGCCAGGTCATCTAAGTTATTTTATGGCTGGTTCAGACTCCAGGGATTGGCCCAGATATATCTCTTAAGCAGACTCTACTACCAAGAAAAGACTGGATGGGTTTGGACTGGTTCAGACTCCTGACTCAAAACTTTTGATGAAAAATATACTGATGCAGGCTTCTGATGAAGAGTTCTGCAGAATACAAATGTCGACATGTCCCCAAAACTAAGAACCTTTGTGATTGTCAGTCTCTTTCTTTTTTGGCCTTTTATCGCTTATATTTTATCATGGCATGATAATTCCTTGATAACAGCAATTGCCTCCTTGTTCCCACAATGCTGCCTTCATCTCAGCCCCAAGCAACAGGCTTAGCTGTCCTTCATCATAAGACTTTTAATGTAGTTCTTTCCTCCTTATTTTGGCATCATCAAATGGCAGCCTCGCAGAGTGTAAAATCTGTTAGGTTTTGTTACTCATTATCCTGGAAGGCAGCGACTAAGAACAGAGGCAAGAGAAACTAGAGAAGAATTGGCAACGGGGTAGCCAGTAAGGAAAATATTGTTTTCTCCTGATTCAAGGAGACATGGATAGCACATTAACTCAGTAGTGGAGAGAGCTCACCTCTTTCTCGCTTTCCTAACTCCATATTTTAAATGTTGGTGCCAGGAAAAAAAAAATATGTTCTCTGCTCTGTGTTTAATAGCAAACCAAGCATCTAATTTTTCAGCTTATTATTTTTAAGCAATTAAAAAAAACCTCAAATCATCAATATAACTGAAACAAAAGTATTTAAAGAAAAGGGATAAAATCCCCGGGGGGGGGAAGTATAAGCAATCGGACAAGATAAAAGAACAAAGAAGCTGACCTGCACCCTCCCTTTAAAAAAAATCATATATATTATAAGATAACAAAGAGGAAGTTTTACAGGGCAGCCCTATACTTGTTTACCTTATGAAATGAGTGTGCATAGGATTTACAGCTTACGTGTCTTGTACGCTTTCATAGGCCCAAGGTTGGAAAAAAGTCTACAGAAGCTTCTTGGTAACTGGAAGGATGATGTTTTTTTAAAAAAAGGAAAACAAAGTTCTCTTGTACTTTTAAATTCTTAAGGGAGCTTCTGGTCCAGCCAGTAGCTTTTGAGTTGCTGTTTTCATTTATAATTTTCTTTCCTGAATTCTGAAAAAAAAAGAGAGAGAAGAAATCTAGAATTAGTGGTGGGTTAAACTTCAGGCAAGGCAGAATTTTGAGCCAGAATTCCGTATGTTTAGGTGCTGTTAATTCACTACTTTCTCTGACTCCTTTTTGAGAAGGGACAGGCAAAGCATTGTGTGGAATCTTAATATTATGTTATTTTTAATTTAAAACCCCTGTTGGATGGAGATTCACAAGACCAAATTAAAAACCATGAAAGGACAGTGAGTTTGCCTGCCAGATAATGTCGAGATGTCAGATGTTAAGTGCTTAGAGAGGAATGTGGTTCCAGGTTATGAGGCCTGCTGCATTCATTCAAAATGGCTTTTCCCAACACACGGGATTAAATCACCTGCTGGACAATGGGGTTTGCAGTCCACTGCATCAGATGGGGGGGGGAGAGAGGCTTTTCAAGCATTCTCAAATGAAAGGATAAGAAAAAGCGAAGGTAGTGGAGAAATATGCAATGAGTTACAGTCTAAGAAGAACACTATCTGGCCATTAAATGTACTGGACTTCATCTCCCGTCATTCTGTATCACTGCCCAGGCTCGTTCAGGAATTGGAATCCTGCTCCGACAACAGTATTGTTTTCATGGAACAGAAGCACGTTTTTAAAGGCCGAAAGTATGGATTGGCTTAGAATGCAATCCACTTTTGAAAATTAGGGGTGTGAAGTCTGGCATGGCAAAAGAGGCTGTAAAGCAGCAGAAAGAGTTCTTGGGCCTGGAGCAAACAGAGACAACTCTGGTCCCCCAAAGATAAATGTTGGCACACTGGAATCCTATCCCATCGGCCTTTCCTGGAGGGAAAGAGTGACTCACCCGCAGTGAAGGACTTGTAATAAGCCCCTTGGCAGTCAGCTGTGGTGAGCTAATGAAAGACTTTGGGGAAGGACCAACTCTGCAAGGCTGAGTTTCATCAAGCAGTTTCCAAATATCCCTCTCTTTGCTAACAGGGTGGGTGACACACGTTTTCTCAGAAGTGAGACAACGGGACATTTAAATGGGGTGGGGCGGGGGGGGAATCACCATCTACTCTTGCTGTCCACTCACCTTTGTCTAAGTCGATATTCTTAGCAGGGAGAATCTTATTTTGTTCAGCTTTCTCCTTCATGATATTGTTTTTGTAATCTGCAAGGAGGGAAATTGGTCAAGGAATAACACGATTTAGAAAAAGGAGGTCTTTCTTTCTTTCTTTCTTTCTTTCTTTCTTATAGATAACTATAACTATGCTCCCCTTGAGGAGCATCCGGAGGCTCCAGCTAGTCCAGAATGCGGCCGCGCGGGCGGTGTTGGGAGGGACTCGTCGCTCCCATATAACACCGCTTTTGCGTGAGCTGCACTGGCTGCCGGTGGCCTTCCGGGTGCGCTTCAAGGTGTTGGTTACCACGTTTAAAGCGCTCCATGGCATCGGACCTGGGTATCTCCGANAGGGGGGGATTTTATAGGGATTTTAAAGGGATTTTATAATTTTAAATCTAATACAGGTCATTTAATATATATTTTAATTTGGCTTTTAGATATTTATTGTATTGTACTGTTTTTATTTACCTGTAAGCCGCCCTGAGTCCCTCGGGAGAAGGGCGGGGTATAAATGGGAATAATAAATAAATAAATAAATAAATAAACTATTTCTAAAAACCATAAAAACAGAATTACAATCCAAGTGAAGATGCAGTTAACAGATGGGGAGGGAGGGAGCAGAATGCGGTGGGAGGAGGAACTGGGATTTCCTTTTAGATCTTAAATCTTCAGGTAAAAGTTAGGCAGTCATGCAGATTGCTGGATATGTGTGAGACTGAAGAAGCCACTGTAGGTTTAAAGCGCCAGGGTGAAGACACACTTGGAGTGAATTCACCTATCGGCTGGACCTTTTGGCTTTTTTAACCACAATTTGTTGAGGAAATCACAACTGGTGATGCGTTGTAGGATTTGCACAATCCCAACGGTTTGTTCACACACTGTGCTAATGCCAAACCAAACAAACTCCTGCATGGCATAAAGGTCAGTAAGTGGCAATGGGACATGGAAAAGCACCCCCTCCTCAAATCCTCCAAGACTCACCCAATTTAAAATCTTCACTTTTGTAATTTGACAAATTGGTTGCATCAAATGGAACCTCCCTTAGAGTCAGTTCTTTTCTGGAAATACAAATATTAAATTATAATTGCATTGTTTTGATGTTTGCAGTATTACTATCAACATGGCATAAGCAGCAATCAATAGATATGTTTCCATTCTATCAATTTTTAGATACAAAGAATGGAGATTTTATGCAATTAATAGCTAAAGATGTCTGAACAGCACCGCAGAATTGGATGGCTGCTAAAATGCAGAAGATTCTCAGATTTAATTATAGCTATTTTGAGAAAGGTTTTCTAGGATCACATATCTTTGAGCATAAGGAACATGTGTCTACTTACTCATCATATTTTTTCACATTGTATTGAAAACCTAAAAATAAAGAACAGATATTAACACATATCCAGGGAGATACTTGCCAACATAGTTAAATAAGTATAGCGTAGTAAAGCCACACAGGGGGATTTCTTTATGGAAATAACCATCATAACAGAATCACAGAGGTGGAAGGGAACTTGGAGGTTTTCTAGTCCAACCCCCTGCTCAAGAAGGAAACCCTGGACCATCCCAGACAAATGGTTTTGGAGTTGAGACGATAAAAGGATGGAGCTTCATTGAAGAATATACACGCATATCCAAATTGGACCCTAGTGAAATGGGTATTTGATTTTTTTGTTTTGCTGTTGTTTGTGGTAACAGAAGATGGTTTTGTCTCACTTTGCCTCATTTTTTGGCAATTTGGCAGCTACCATTCTGTCTGCCCAGCATTGTCAGCCATTGTGGTCTTTGAGGAGAAAATGACAAACACTGTATTATTTTTTATCAGCTACCGCTGAACAATGCTGCCTCTGAGGATTCTGGGGAAATAAAATGTTAACCGCATAGGGGCAACCACCAAGAGTCTTTTTTTAAAAAAAGAAACTCATCCCCCTCCACTTTCAAATGAAAGATGATAACATATTCCTGAAAATATTTCTTTTATGCTTGATTTAAAACGCATGCAAAAATGGATGGAGTGAACTCCGCTTAATTCTTAGGTATCATAACCACATGGATGGTAAAAGGTGCTCCTATCCAGAATTCCTTCAAATCCAATTTTTTCCATGTAGCATCTGGATGAATTCATAAGCTCACTTAAGCCCTGGCAGTGAGAAATGGCATTCCACAGCTTAAAAGTAAAGGAGATATTATGTGATAACCATAGTTCTATTTTCTCAAGAGAAAATGGGGCCCTTTAAAATGAGGAGGAAGCCATCCCTCGGAGTAGTGAAGGAGTAACAGATGTGTGCACTCACCTCTCCTGCGGTGCTGGCGAGTCACGAGAACTGCAAGGATCAAGAGCAGGATGAAGAGCAAGAGAGTGGCCAGAACATAGCCCAGCTGGTGGAAGAAATGAGCCCGGCTCTCGGGAATGATGACATTGATGACGTTGTGGTTCCGGCCTGAGTTAGGATCTGGATGGTAGAGGAAGATAAAAAAATAAATAGATCAGCGACTGATTCTCAAGCTAAAAAATAATTAGGAAAATTCACCTAAAGTCTTTCCTACTACCCAGCCCAATCCCACAAACAGAACATACAAGCAATAACTCATTCACACTGTGGTGTTCAGAGATACCCTACTTCTGAATATGGAGCTTGTATTTCAATATCATGACTAATGAACCTTGATTGACAGATTCTCCTTCTCCGTTAATATACCAACTGTCTTTCAGCAGGATGTAGATAGAAGAGAGCTCCAGGTATTGCCTTCTTGTGGCACAGAGTGCCAGCTATCAATTCCACAGTGTGTCATTCTAAAACACTCTTTTTTTTTTATCTGTCTCAGTTCTTCTTCCAATCAATATTAGAGGAGAAAAACCGACTTAATGCTCCATGGGCCTCTCCACAAAAAGGAATTGATTATAACCGAAGCTGCCTGATACCTATCGTTTCCACGCTGACCACCAGCCAATCATTTTGATTTGGGATAGAGGAGAACTGTTCTTATCATGGGAAGGATCCCCAGCTTTGGTCAGTAGGAAAGGAAGGGTTCTATCCTTCAACTCCCCCAACAACATTTAGACATTCCTATCAAGATTTTCAAGCAAAAGCTTTTCCATACGCTTGCTTTTAGCAGGCAATGCCCCAATTCGTATGCTTCTTGCCTAGCAACCTTTCACATCAAGGTGAAGCAGCTACCTTGTTTGATGACTACCAATAAAAATCTCAAAGAAACAGACAATTGTCCCTTCTGCTCTTTCAGCCATTTTAAGGGAAATTCTGAGATCCTTCAGTCCAACTCTTGCTACTGTCACGAATGAAGGCGAATATACATGTCCCAGGATAATGCTGCAGGATCCAATTTGAGTCGATCACCAAGACCAGAGATTTAGTCTTGCCAGTTTTCGGATTCGTACTGGGGAGAGGCTAGAGAGAAGTTCCCTGAGGATGATGGGCTCCAGCGTGAGTCCAAAAGTTTGGGTCCCGGTGACCGACTGAAATTGGATCTTGCTACTGTCTCTGTTTGAGGATTGCTTTATGTTGCCAAACTGTCCAGGAGAGTAGTCACAGACGAATGTGGATACCAAAAGAATGAGTGTCGATAAAACAAAATCAAACCGCAGATGTGTGCACACAGGCAAAATAAAGAAAAATATTGAGGCTTCAAGCCAGGAATCCATTCCAATGCAGGGTGTAGCAGTTTTTTGTGTTGAACCAGAGAAGGGAAAGCAAGAGCAAATTGTCAGTGTGAAATGCAGTTCATTAGGCCCTCTGTGTGTGTGTGTGTGTTAAGAAACATTTGGAAAAATACTTGTTTGCAAGTGTCCAAGGGTTATATAAATGCAGACAAGGACTTGGAGCACCATTTTGGATTCAGGCAGCATTTCACAGGAAAAAAAAGGAAGTTTGGATATGTCGAGAAGGTAGGGAAGGAGTGAGGGAAAACAACTTTAGGAAACGTATCGGCATCTCTGAGAACTAGCAGCCATTTTCCTCATTCACAGTTGCATCCCATATTATTTCCATGCCTAGCAATGAATGTGTTTCACTGTTAAGGAAAAGGTCTAAGTCGCCTTGTTTAAGCATCAGAGGGGGGGGGGGGAAAGGCAAGATTGAATTGAGATGCAGATATTGCCACACTGGAGACCGGAAAGGGGTAGGAGACAGAATTAGGCGCCCTGCACCCTCTGGGAGCTGATACTCGAATTCAAGTTGAGTCACCACATTTGTAGCATGAAGTGGGAGCCTCAATGCCTCCCTGTTCTCCAAGATTCTCAGAGAAACTCCTTTCTGGAGAAACCTCAGAAATGGAATATAACATACCTAAACATTGGGAAAAAACTGATTGCAAACGTTTCTGAGGAAAATAGAACTTTAGCATGCAGTGATATTTTCTTCCTTGAAATCCACTGGCACACATTTTTCTTGAGGCCACAATGCGCATAATACAGCCAGGGAAGAAATGTTCAGCATTGGACATCAAGAAGGTAGAGAAATGTTAAGCTTCAAACAACCATCTGGAGAACCAGAGGCTGAAATTAAATATAAAACACAGAAGATTTTTTGCTGGTGAGCAGCCTGGCCCAAGGGAAGCTCTTAATTCAGTTATTAGCACACAGACAACATCCGTAGGAGGGATGGTGGTCATATCTTTATGGCAAAAACTTGTACGAGTTGATTGAACTGCATGTGAAGACCAGCTTCCCGCCATCTTTATCATCCAATTGAGGGGTCCTTGGTGCTTTCTGAACTTGGGTGTTTTCTTGCAAATGTTTCATTACCCAAACTGCAAGTCATTAGCAGTGATAGTGCCTATACACTAGCACTGCTGATGTTACCTAGTTGGGTAATGAAACGTCTGCAGAAAAACACACAAGCTCAGAGAGCACCAAGGACCCCTCATATCAACCCTGAGTATGAAGATATAGTCTGTGGGGAGCAGCAGCAGAGTCTAGGGGTGATCCTCACTTTTAGCAGAAAGAGAAATGAGAATGTTTTCATTTCACTGAGTTTTCCGTCACTGTTTACATCGGCTGATATTGATGTCACGGGATTCTTTCAGAGTTGGCAGACTCTTAAACTGCACGTGTTCTGCACGGTAACATAACCCCATCTATTTTTAAAATAACTGTCCTGGGGATCATTCTGGAAGGACTGACGATCTGCTTTCTGCGGTATTCAGGACACAGAAAAGGGGCTAATTTGTGGCACAATTTAACATGGAGGAAGATTTTCTCACTGACTGCTAGTCACAACAGTTACAGACAGAGCGTCCATGCAGAGAATTGTTATCTCCGAATGACATTTAGAAAATGATAATACCATTCATCAATCTACACCAAAATTCTGACTGAAAAAGAATAGGAGTCTGATTGATCTTGTACTTAAAAAATCAGAGCCTCAAAGAGTTAACAGCAGATCTTGATGGAAGGCGGAGTAAAAATAAATAGGCCATGTTGATCTTGTAAGCAGAATAAAATTTCCTGTTAGGAAAGGGTTCCAAACCTTGGAACTATGCCTGGCATTAAAAGATCCAAGGAGAAGCTTCTAGCTCCCCCTTTGAAACAAAAAGCTATATTCCTCCCAGAGTTTGATCTCCATGAGTTGGGGAACCAACTGAACTTCTCCTGCTGTTAAACAAAGATCTTCGCAAATGTTAGGGTCCAGAAGGGGAGAGGGAAAGGGAGAAGGCGGAAGTCTGAGTTAGTAAAAAAAAAAAAAAAAAGATGTTTTGCACAAGATAGAAAAAAGTTCTTGGGGATCTGGGACCAATTTCCTGGTTGCAGCTGCAAGAAGACAGACGGGTGGAACAGCTCAGAAACTGGGTCAAACAATGCCTTAAGAGTGATCCTATGAGCTATATTTACAATGTAAATGTAAATGAAATATAATGTAAACGAAATAAAGGGAAATGCTGGGTTTGCCTTGCCAAGTCCGATACTTTTCTGATTGCAACCCTCAACAAACCATGTATCTAGAGCCCAGAAAGAGAAGTTCAGCCTGCTCTTTAAGGCTGCCTCTGCCATGCTAGCTTTCTCCCACCTAGGACCTGTCCCATTGTCCCTGTCCACCATGCTGTGACCAGAGTTACCCTGAGCCATTTAGAAGGAGCTGGGTTGGAAAAACCTGCCATATGGTCCCTGAGATTTTCTCAGCATCCCCTTCATGGTGAAATTCTCTGAAGCCCTGGAAGAGCTAAACCTAGCAGTACTACTGGGCCGTTTAAAAAATTCATTGCAGCGCTGCTAGGGATGTTATTAAGTCGTGAATAAATATTAAACAAGCAATAAATATTTTAGATTGTTAATAAACAAAGAACTACGCCCGACAGGTTTGCTCTTTGTATTTGTCAGGCATTTTATTTATTAAAATTGCAGGGTTTTCTTCTGTTGATTAAAAAAAGTTAATATTAGAAAGATGGAAAAGCTGGCGCCTTGGTTCATAATGTGCAATGCAATAAAATCGGCTACTACTGCCTCAATTAAAAATCTGCCCTAAAACACTTTTTTTTCCCCAAAGCGCTTGGAATTAGCAAGCCCAAAGATATTTTTTCTTTTCACATTAGCCCTTGCAATGTAACATATGGACAGATTCTGGAATTTAAAAGTGCTTCTTAGATGAGAGAGCCCATCCTTTTTTTTTTTTTTTTTTTTTTAAGACATCAGTTATCAATTGCTTCACGTTAATGGCTTAAGTAAGTTAACTGCTTACCTGGTGCTGGGGGATTGGGGCGCGTGAGATTCACCACCGCTTTTTTCTCCTGTTCCGGCTCTACCACCGAGACCTGGAAGATCCTCCGTTCGTGGAGGCCGCAGTAGTGGTGGTGCAGGTGGCAGGAATAGATCCCTTCATCCGCGGCCTCCAAAGACGAGATCCTCAGTGAGAAGTCACCCAGGGCAAAGGCCCTCCCGGTGATGTTCATCTTTTGCCGGAGAAAGGAAGGCCCGTACAAACGTCCTTCGCCAGAGGCATACAGGTCAATCAGCCGATCGGCCCGGTCATGAGGCACTCCTGGGGGCTGCCTGTCCCAGTGGACGACTTGTTGGTCCTCCTCCTCATCTCGTCCGGTCCAGACCTGGTTCCGGTTGATGCAAGGAAGTACCACCGCACTCCCTTTCAGGGCAACCATCACCACTTTCTCTCCATCCCAGAATCTCTGGACTTCCCCGGCTGTAGAAAATCGTACACACGAGAGGAAAAGAATAAATTTGCTTCCAGGGATGCTTGTCAAATGCCAGGGAAATCAGAAAGTCCCGGCAGTTCAAGTGAATATAAAGGTTTATTGCAAGGTTAAGCTGTCTGCAAGAAACTGAACTATAAACTGTCAAAGCAAACTGGTAGATAAGACACAAAGGAATTCAAGGTAGGCTGGACCTAGATCTCTTGTGGGCACGAAGGGATCCCTGACTGACGATGTGTTTGACCCCTCCCTTGGGCTTACCTGGTCATCTCCTACAATGCCATTTCATACAGTTCCCTCCAAAGGGTAATTCTCCTAGAGACAGCATCAGAACCCTTCATACCCATGGTCCTCAGAGTATGTTTTCTACAACAATAAGTTGCCCAGAGAGATAGGTGGCATACAATTTTAATTAAAAAATAATCGGATGTCAGGGAGGATGCAAAAACAAGTACAAAGACTCAACGGAGTTTTTACACAACCTAGATCCATCACAGTTTTCCAACTCTCTGCACTGATTCTTTGTGTGAAGCATGTGGGAGTCAAGATACTGTACATTCTGAAGCGGCTTTAGACATCAGCTACCCAAGCCAAATTGTCCATTAAGCCATATCTTGGTCTCTATCACTGGCTACGCTAGACAAAACCCAGATGGTGATCAACTGCCTTGTTTTTTTCCACTTTGCACAGAAGAACAGAGGGACTGTACAAAGGGCGTGCTGTAACTTTGACAGAAGAATGAATTGCCGCAAAAATGTCCAATAAACATCTTTAATAAACAAAATCTAATTTCCATGCATCAAATACAAAAAGAACATTCGAGTTAACTCTCAGCTGAACCTACTTTGCAGGCTTGTTGTTTAAATAAAACACACTTTTTAGGAAGTTTTCTATCTTTCTAATGAGATGCATTTTACTCCAATATAAGGTATAAAAACTGCCAAATTGTTTCCGGCCTTTCCAAAAGAGGAAAATTGTAAATTTTCTTTGCTTCCTTAAGTGGAAGAAATACTGTATTGAAGCTCTTGGAAAGTTCTTTAAAAAATGTCCTGCAAACTTTTGTGGGGTGTGTAGGTGAGGATAATATTTTTATCCAAAAAAACCCCTCCCCTCTATAAATGGTACTGCTTGGTAAGAATCTTATAGAGAAAATTTCATTAAGAACACAAAATGTAAGAATTCTCCTGGATCAAGCCAAAGAGATCGCATTGGCCCTAAATCCTACATCTACACCAAGATGCATTATGCAGAGTTGACACACAAGGCAGGGGAAAAAGGAAAGGAAAAAAAATAAATCCAACAAGGATCCCCAAGAGCAAACTAATAGGGTCAGCTCAGGCTTTTGATATATTTCTATTTTCTCAATCAGGGCAAGATTACTTGTCCTCTGAGATTGAAAGGAAAGGCTTTCTTCCAAAAAACTGCCAATCCCATTTGCTTCACTAACAAAAGCATATCTTACTTAGTTCTCCAGGCCTTTTCTCTGCAGCCTTGTGACGGGAAATGCTTGGTTGGCCACAAACATCTAAATTACAACTCCCTAGACTTCTCATTTGCTCCATGCTGCACAGCAGAAAGGCCCCTTCCAAATTTGCTTTGATTTGATGACTGAGAAACACCGAAGGGGAGTAAAAATAAAAGTTGCAGAAACAAGCCACGTGCACACACACACACACACATTCCTCCTGTTGATTCCCACTCGGGAGGTTCCCCACCCCACCACCCCCAAACTGCTGACCTTCTTCAGTGACCTCAAGCTGCAGCTGCACTGTTTCATACAGATGGCAATAATGGTGGTGGAGGTTACAGGAATAAATTCCTTGGTCGCTCACAGCAACATCTTGATTAGAGGAATAAAGAGAAAGAGAAGGAGATAATTTAGACTATGTATTAGACTATGTATAGACTATGTATTAGAACGATAGGGAGAAGGCAAATGATATAGGTATCACTGTTGGAAGTTCAGTCCTGCACAACAGTGCAGGAATCCTATAAGTATTCAAAACTAATGCTTATTTGTTTGCTTACAGATTTTAAACATCTGTAAGGGAGGGGAACTTGCCACCTCTCCAGAAAGTGTCTTTCTACAGTGAAACGTTAGGAAAATCCCTCCTCCTGGTTACAAACCCCCTTTTCTGCCATTTTAGAGAATAAGCACTTGAAGGGAGAAAACTATCTGCAATGTGAAACAAACAAACAGGGAAAAGCTAATCTGTTTTGGGTTGTAAGGCTGGTGAATTGAGCAGTCATCTTGGCAGAATTTGAAAAAAGATAAGCAAGTTCGGATCTAGTTGGTCCTTGGACAGGGCACCACCAAGGGGATCCACAGCTGTAGGCAAAATTGGGAAGGAAACGAGAAACATTGTGGCTGACAGCAAGTGCAAACCACCTTAGTACTGTGGCTAAGGAAATTACCTGCCACAATCCAGGTAGTCACTAACAGTAAAACTCAACTTGAGAAGGTTTTTAACTTTTAAACCCACAATTAATCTCAGTATTATATATTAATAAACCCAGTGTTTACAAGGAACCCATTGATATGTATTGTACCATAGAGAGGGCCAATATTTTCCTTCGGTGGAAAGGAGGCTTTTCACTGGGCACATTTGGAAGAAGGAAACCCCCAAAAGAGGAAATGAAAATATTTGGCATCTGAGAGCAACTCACCCTGCTGCATTTTTATTTTTCATTATTTTATCTTATACAAACGTCTATGGATGTTATGGTTACAATAACTACTCCTTTGGCAAACCCTTTTGGAAACTGCATCCTTTTTTTTAAAAGCAGGACGAGAAATAATCTCAGTTGACGAATAAATCCACACTTCCCTTTAGGAAAGAGCAGATCAAGGGATGTGTGCAGGGCAGCAGCTACCTTGGACGATCAATGAAAAGTTGCCTTCCATAAATGCGTTTTCGGGCATGGAGATCCGTCCCTGGTTGTACGTGTGGTAAACCCGCTGATCCCCGGCAGAGTACATGTCGCACAGCCTCTCCGCAGCCTGCTGGCTTCTGTAGAGATCCCAGTGAACCACCCGCTGGTGGTCGTTCAGACTGTCCTGAGTCCAGACCATCCGGTAGCTCTTGCACGAGAGAACCGTGCGGGAACCTTCCTTGGCGGTGATGTTTACTATGGACACCACCATCCCTTCCGGATTGGATGCGTCTGCTGGGACTGCAACAGGAAGAAAGGAAAGGAGCTGCATTATAATAACAGATGCCTGCAACTGAAAATGGAAGCAGCCGTCTATATATTGAACCTGAAACCTAACAAAAGCTAGGGAGGAGATGGCCTCTCTGCTCCCTCTAGCCAAAGGAGGCAAGGGCAGGGCAACAGGCCAAGAGGTTCATGGGCCCATCGCACAAGGCACACAAGAGATCCGCCTCAGTTCCTGACACCTGCAAATAAAAGGGTGCTTATGAGAAAACCCCTTCTTGGGCAAGGGTTACAGGCAGCCTGGTCATTTCAGAAAGAATCACATCATCTACATGGTTTTTTTAAAAAAATATTATTCTGAGGAATCCTTGGCAGCCTCCAGTAAGCAACCATCTCTTTAAATGAATCCACTACGGTACTTCTGCTACTTGACAATAATCCAGCCGGTATACAACAGGGTTGTTGTATGGAATGCATGCCTCTTATTTAAAAAATGTAGGAGTGTAAAGCTGTAGTCTTATTCTCACTTACCTGAATATGGATGAACAGCAGCTTCTAAAATGGAGGAAAGAGAGGAAAGTTTTTAGTGTCAGAGGCCACTTTAAAATAACAATATCAACCACCGCCACCACCAGTGCCAAGTCCTACACAGGACAGAAGGTGTATTTCAGAGAAAGCCAAGGGATGAAGTACCCTAGATGCAAGTGTGTGGTTATCTGTCAGGTCTGAAGAACTGGATCTCATACTGCAAGGTTCGGTTACAGATCTTTCATCTCAGGAGACCACTCAAAGAGGGCCTTCCCATTGGCTGGGCATTATTGCACTAAGCTAAAGTGCCTTCCTTATAGTTGCTGCAGTTTTGCAACCTAGTGCCCCCCCTTCCCCCCCAGTGGCTGTTCCAAAGCAAAAAAATAAAAAAGGCCTGTCAGAGGCCAGGATAAGCTCTTCCTCCTTTCTCATAATTGGTGGTCTCTGAGCTCAAAAGACAGGACCAGCAAACATAACAGTTCCCCTCTTCCATGAATGTTTCACAGAGACCAAATTGCACCCTTGGCATTGCTGCGGTGGTGCCAGGCAGCAATAGCACAGAATCTAATTCCCTTCTTGTCTTGCTACTGTTACTCATTAACTAAGCTATAGTCTTGACAAGAACTAAGGGGGGGGGGGAGGCAATAATCCAGACAGACAATGGACTGGTTGCTATAAAAAAAAAGCTGAACCCTGCAGATCCTTGAAGTCTCCATCTCAAAGACTGGAGGCAAGGGAACATTTGGCAAATCCTTTCCTTATTCCTTGAAAGAGAAGATGTGACCAGCCTGAGTTCTAGTGTCAAAGCTTGAATTTCGTGCTTGCATTGACTACATACCCCAGTGATTTCTTAAGAGATTTGCTAAATGGGTGCTGTTATGAATGTCCAGGAGGACATTCCCTGTTTGAAAAGCTCTCACTCCTGTTTAGCAAGATTAATCTGACGGAACTCAGTGGCCCTGAGCAAATCTTTTCCATGCTATCCTCTATTTGTGGGTTGGGGAGGAATTTTCACCCTGTGCGCATCCTAGTTTAACGTAAAGAATATACTTGCAGATTGCCATGATTCAACTTCTGACAAATTCATTTGAAAAAAATAAATAAATAGAGATGGGTTGTTCTTCCAAAGAAAGCAGGAAACTCACCAGATGTGCTGTTGCTCAAAACTGCACAGATCCTTTTAACCCTTTTTTTTCCCCCATTGTGCCAAATTTAGCTGCAGAGGGATCAGACAATCCCCAGACCTGCTGGCATTGCTAACCTTAGTTGAAGATCAAAGCAAACGGTGTTTGTTTGGTCTAGGACCCTAAATGTAATATTTTTTTAAAAAAAAAATGCACTCAGATGTTTATAAAACAAAGTGGACAACCTTTTTTCCCCACAACTCCCACTGGGAAAGCATCAGGTTACCACCTTTCTACCTTCTTGCCTGCAGTTTTGTGATCATTAGAGCAATAGAACCCTAGTTTTTTTGGCAGTCTACCTCAGAATTCCACTGCTATGCAGAGACAGCTTAGAAGAGGAAACCTCTTTTTCATGCCCGACTTCGCACTTATTGGAAACAGGATGCCGTGCTAGACAATCTAGCCAAAAAAACTACAACTGAGGTGGTTAAGGCACAGCACTACGGAAAAGTAAAGATTGGATTCCACAGATTCAAGGCAGACTCCACCTTACTTTTTTTGTCCCACACCTGGAAGACCACAGGAAACACCTGAACAATACTGGTAGTCCTTGACTTACGACAACTGAGCCCAAAAGGGGATCACGTGACTCAGGACACTGCAACCATCCTAGTCAGTTGCCAAGCGTCTGAATTTTGATCACGTGGTTGTGGGGAGGATGCAACAGTTGAAAGTGTGAAAAAACGGTCATAAGTTGTTTTTTCAGTGCCATTGTGATTTCAAACAGTCACTAAATGAATGGTTGTATGTTGAGGACTGCATGTACATTTATATCTTTGGAGCTTTCCAAGGACCTCCAGCTCAGAGGTTTTGCCCTCTCAAGTAACAGAATGACACCACTGATCCAGCCAGATAATTTCCAAACTGTCAGATTGCAGTCTAATTTCCTCTCTGTGCAAACATTAAACATGTAAGGTATTAAAATAACTTTAGTCTTAATTGTTCTTGTGTTTTTGTTTTAAATACAGGCTATCTTGGGAGAGCCTTCTCATTGTAAGAAAAAATTTAAAAGTTTTTAAAGTTTTTAAAAATTGCCAGAAAAAAAATTCAGATCAAATAAAAATTAGTGAAATTATGAGCCCCTCCCCCCAACAGCTTAGGGAGTTCTCAACCAGATTTGCCTGAAGCAGGTAAAAACAGCTTTGAACCCATTGATGTGATTCAGACAATTGATGTAATCCTGCTTGATTTAGAAAATCAGTCTGATCCAATTCAGACATTCAGGCTGAACTGTCCAATTGGGTTGATCTGAATTTTTGAAGCAATTGGTCAAATCAATTTGGAGAAGGTCTCGGATAGAATTTGATAACCAGACTTCACTTTTCAATTCAGCTTGGAAAGTAAATTTGATTCTGAGATATGATCAGAGCACTGTTGAATTTCCAGTTTGAATCTTTGCATATTCCTCTTATTTTTTAATACATTGGTGAAAAACCAAAGGGCCCAGAATGGGAGAGAGGGGACAACTGTTAACAGTTTCACCCATTTCCCAATATTTTCTATATGACTCTTATAAAATATTTTTATTTTAGATATGATCACAAAACCTCATTTTTAAAAAACAAACATAATACTTTGTCTCAGAAAGGAGGAAGAAAGTACTTCCACAGCTGAATATAAAAGGTTTTTGTTGGTTTATGATAGATCCAAATCCCTAATCACAAGAACAACTTTTACATTTGCTAGAGATTACTTAAATCAAATTCTCTTTGATAAAGAGAGAAAAACAAGGACTGCAAAGTCTTTTTTTCTGGATCTGTTTTTGCAGAGAAGGCAGAAGTTATGAGAAGAGGGTTTTTTTTTTATGTCACCCAATTCTTTGTTTACTTAAGGAAGTATTCAGTATATCCAAAAGTATACATCTGCTTGCATTGCATCTTCCCAGATCTTGTCTTAGTGTTAAATGGTTAACTATCTCAGCTGCTGTGTATATTTTGGATGTTTTTATCGCTTTTAATTTTGGAATTGTAAGCTGCCCAGAATAATTGAGATGGACAGCTATTGGCATCAAATAAATAAATCTTTCTAAAGTAGCTCCTTCACCATCAAGATTTTTTTTTTAAAAAAAAATGTAAGATTGCATCGTGTGTAGTCAATATACCACAGATAACCTCAGGATCTTAATTATTAAATAGCTAGCAACCTCATTGATTAAAATTAGCCATCTCCAGTTACTTAACCAAATTCACTTTCACTACTCTACCACTGCTATTATTTAATATTTAAAGAACCCTGTTTTCTAAAAGTTATTTTAATACTTCCTCTCTCCCTTTTGTTATGTGTTGCTTTTTTCATCAACATTTCACATTTATTTGGCAAAACTTTTTTTCTGCAAGGCATGGTTATTTGATCGATAGCTCCATTTTGCAAGCACACAACTGTAGCTAGAGGAATTACATTCACACTAAATCACTGACAGAAAAGTAAGGTCCTACATTTTCCCAACCAGACTCTCAGGATGAGAACAGGAAGAACTGCACTAATATAACATTGTTAACTTTTCCTTGCTGATTCTGTTCCTCTGCTTATGCTGGTTGAGAGACATGTACCACATAAACTTTTGCTTATCGTATGTGCTGTACCAGAAAGATAGCATCTAATAAAAATATATATACTTCATGCTGTCATTAAAAAATAGATCTAATAAATCAAAAATGGCCAAAATAAACTCAAGCCAAGCTTGAATTTTAGCCAGATTGTGGCTAAGGGTCTTCTTAGCCAAAACCAAATGGCCAACCAATCAATAAAATTCTATCCAAGCAAAACTATATTTTAATCTTCCTCTCAGCAGTACAAAACTCACAAAACATATTCTCATTCCAATGGAGAAACCGATGAAAGTGCTATGGATGGGACAGTCCTCAAATTAACTAGGATAATGCAACTCCCCCATGTTTACATATAGCATTCCCAAAGTATGTGCATAAAATCTAATTTTTGCCAAAAAGAGGAAGAAAGAGGGCCATGCAGGGACACACAAAGAAAATTAATCCCGATTTTTCAAACTTACCCTGGACAACCAACAAGAGAGCTAAAAGGAATTTGCTAACTTGCTCCATGTCTCTCTTCCTTCTTTTCTTCAAATCTTCCCCTTGCTGCTTGCTTGAAAACACTTATGATCTCATCCGTTTACAGCCCCAAAACATGGATATACAGCAAACCTCTTTCCATAGCACAATGCTTCCCTCCTGTCTCCTTCTTTCTTTCTCTGGCTTGCCAGCCCTCCCACCTCTGTCCAATCCTAGGGCTCAACTTCTACATAACATACATACTCTGAACTTTCTGCAGCCTTACACAGCCTAAATGATTTTTGATGTAACAGTGATTTTTTTTAAAAATCTAGTATCGTTTTGCTGGCTCCGCTCCTCACAGCTCCAAGTTTCAAAGACAGTTCCGCCTACCCGCCTCCCTTTTTGGATATATGGTATTAATTTTCTGGGCATTTACAGAATCCAGTTTTCTTTTTTTCCTGCTTAGGCTGACTTTCTGCCAGATGTTGTCTTGAGTCCTATATCTTTTCATTATCCCTCTTTCCCTTTTTTTTCTTCTTAAAGTTTAGTCTTTTGATTTGTCCATCTCAACTCTAGGTGGCTTTGGTGACGGTTTCAAAACAACTCTGAAAAAACATGGATGAAACAAGGTCAAATTGATATTACCGACACATCCCTATTAGATCACATTTCTATAGGAATAAAACATTTGGATTTAAAATGCTTACACCTTCCAGGGACAGGTGACTTCATTAAATATTCAGTGTGTTAGTTCCCTCTGTTTTCACTCATAAACTCATATTTTCAGATTTCTGTGTCAGTTTGTAAACTAGCATATGCAGAACCTCATTATAATCTGAAACAGATTTTCTTCTGCAGCTTTTGCCAACATGCAGGTTGTGATGCATGTCCTAATGAGTGCCATTTTAATAAACAAACTATCTTGGATTTCAGCATTTTGTTGACATCTTTCTCTATCATTCACATTCTTGGCTATGATAATCCAATAACAGATTAAGTAGGCCCCAACACTGAGGGACATACAGACATTAAGATAATGGAATTCCAATTTGTCTACATATCAGAAGCAGGGTGATCCAAGCTACATTATAGACAGTGGCTGTATAGCAGAAATGTTCCCCTAAAAACATACCCTTGGATCCCTTGAAATAAATCTGAGCAATTCTGCTGCAAAACGGAAGCATTAGCTCTTTCCATGCACAAGAACTGTGTTAATCTAAGGTCCATCTATCCCCTTCTGCCCCCCAAAACATATTCGGACAAAATATTAAACTGAGTTCATCACTGATGTTTAAATTGCAGGACAAATTCAGTTTCAGGCAAAGTAACCAAGATACATAGTGGGGCAAACAGCCCTGCCAAGACCTCCTTGTTATTTACACACAATCAAAAGTGTGTTAAAGAGCCCTCTGCTTTCTATCGCCACTTCCAATAAAGTAAGGGGCAAGGGACTGCAAACTGTAGAAGCAAAGCAGATCCTGATCGTAGTTGGAAAAGATCAGGTGGTGACTGAACTGAAATCCAAGAGGCACCATTTTTATGCTATTCCATTTTGTTGGCAGGCAAGTATCCTTTTCTAAAGTCTTGCCAGGTTGAACAAAATATTCCCAGGAGAATTATATTACAATAATGGAGTTTATCTCCTTCCCTAGATTGAGAGAAGTTTGTTCTCTGGTTTACTTTACAGGTCAGGTGTCATTAAACTGAGACACTCATTTTGGCTGATCTCAAAACACCAAGCGGTGCTGGATCTGATTAATCCTTGAATGGGGGAGCACCAGATAATCACAGGACTGCACACCAGGCAAGAAGTCAAAATAGTTCTTGGAAAAGGGCAGCAGCAAACCACTTACATATTGAAGACAGCATGGACATATCCACAAAGTTTGTAGGAGTTGACCTTGGACTCAAAGGGGTGTTTCCCCCCCCCTCCATATCCTATCTCCTTTACGCAGAAAGGATCAAGGTTCCTGCAAAGACAAATAGAGGAAATTCTTCACCAAGTAGCCGAATGTTGGGGCAACTGTGATATAACAATATTCTATCAGCACCTGTTAGTATCACGAACCTTCAGCCAGGCGTCTATAAGGAATCCAGCGAGCAGGGTTAACAAAGATCTGCTGCTGGCAGGGCGGGTTTCTTGCTCAATAAAGGCATCCCTTGAAATATAGCCACAATTATAGGCCTGCCAGACGTAATCTGCTATTATTCTCATGACTTCACCCATCCTGGAATCTATTGGGGACATTGTGTTATAGAAGTCTCTCCGTGCTCTAATTGCTTCTTACTCTAGCACCTGGTTTACCCCCACCCTTACAAATTGACAATTGGGGGTTCCATCCCTGTGGAAGGCTGCCCACCTGGACCTGAACAGAAGCAATAATGCAAATCTAAGGTCTCCTCAGAAAACTCTCACTGAACCAAAAGAAAACTCAGCTGACAGCTTCTGTGCTGCCTTTCATGTGATTACTGCTTGCTGCTCTCCAAAGGTGAGAATTCTGTGCACCGTCAGAGGCATTCTGTCATGTAGAAAGCTTGAAATTGTTGCTGGGTGGCTACCTGTGGCTTTTCCATCTCTGTCAAGAGACTAAAGCCTTATTATGTTGTTAAATTGGCCTTGACTCTTGGTCAGAAACCAAATTTTTGCATCTCCCTTTAGGGTGCCTTTCCAATACCCTCTTATTTATAATGCCCATCACCGTTTTGACTCAAAGGAGACTTTATCTCCCAGCATGCCTGCTATAGACTCAATAACAGATTTGATAATGGTGGATGCCTCTCCAAAAACATCTAGGAATTGGGACTTAGGCAATTTAGTATATTAAGATTCCCAGAGTTTCTCAGTTTGTCTCATAGTCAGTAAAGCAGACTTGAAATTAGCCAGAGAAGTTACAATGCTTTAATTAATAGCAGTGATCTCTTCCTATTAGCCCACCAGTTACTAGTAGGCTTTATGCAGATTATGGCTCTATTTCAACGCTCACAGAAAATACTTTTCCTATACTATGGGATGGAACACAGCTTTTCACTTCTGGCAAGCGTTATAGTTTTAATTCCTGGAATTCATAAAAACAACAGTAATAAGAACCATTTACAAAAACATTAGCTTCACCCAGGATTTTTTTTTTAATGTTCCAAAACAATAATACAAAAGTATTATGCTGAAGGAATTCCTTTGACCCCAGGTAGAAAAGGGCCACATGGGTTCTCACCATTCTTGCAATCAGATTCTACGTAAAGCAAGTATTTGTTTTGTATGCCGAAAATCTTGGGTTCAGTTTCCTGGAAAGATGGGGAAAAATTCTTCATGGAACCCTGGAGAACAATTGCTAATCGGGATAGAATGAGACAGATTGACTCAATAAAAGGTAATTTTTTATGTTTCTAATTCTTCTTTTTTTTGGGGGGGGGGGAACATCTCCTCCTGTCTGAATAAATCAGAGACAGAGAACCGGGAGGAAATAACAGAGCAATCAAATCAGCATCATTGAGGCCTCATCCCATTGGCTTTGCTTCCAAAATCTCCCTAACAGTCAGAAAGTAAAATTCCATGCTCTGTTACTCATCTCTATCCAGCAGTTTTGGAGATAATGTTTCAAAAGTAAGACCATCAAGTATTTTTAAAGAAATCTGTTCTGTTTACCAGAAATAATTTTGAAAATCCAGATTTCCACCAAGACTTTGTTCAGTCACTTCCCCAGTTGAAGATAGTGGTGGCATTTGATGTGCACAACATACTTAAACATGGTTAGTGTTTTTGTGGTTAGGGAGTTGTGCAATCCAGCCTTTTGGTTTACCTTATGAGTCAACCTGCTGTATAAAGCCAGAAAATGAATTAATTCAGTTGCCAAGATGCTTTGTGTGAGAACAACCCATGTGGTCCAGTTTTACTCAAGCTGGTGGTTTCCAGATGTGCTGGGTATCAAGTCCCATAATTCCCAGCCACTTGCTGGAAATTATGAAAACTCTGGATCAGCAGATTTGGGGAGGCTTTGCCAATGCTTTAAACCACAGCATTTCTGCCTCCTCCATTAAGAAACCACATTGGGGTATCTCTGCCCTTTGAAAGATCATATTTGTTCCCTTTTAAATTACTCTCCACCTTGTAAACCTGCCTATTATCACAGCCTACTGGAGAGCCAAAAAAAATGAAGGAGTTCCCAAACCACCCACAAGATCAAAGCATTATTTTTTGGTTGCTGTGTTAGAAGTTGCACCTCTCCTAAAAATATTGTTTTTAACAGTTGCCCGAGCTTTCCAAACGGCTTTTTATAAAAAATAAGATTGAAATAGATCTCTGGGCTGCAAAAAAAGGCCATGCGTGGTTCAGTTGGTAGAAGAATTACAGTGCCAAATGTAGAGGCCTTGAGATGGAGTACAGCCAGTTTTTTTTTTTTATCCCAAAGCTGCTGAGGAACTGAGGGGACCACCACCAAGATATCGTTTTAACTCTGAAATTAGCAAGTTTCATCTTGAGAATAAATATCTTAGCTATATGACTCCAAGTTCAAGATATTGAATCAAAGAGGCAGATGGCTGGACAAGGCCAGTAAGCCGAGGACTGGTAAGCAAACCAACTATGTAATTGAAGCTGGGAAATCTCTTGGAATTCCAGCCAAAGTTTAGCTGCCCTTTAGAAATATTTTTAGAATATTCTTCCTTATGGCTTACTTAAGAATTCCTGAGAAAAATGTGCAGGTGGCACACTTTTCATTCCTATCCATCTCTGGTGGCAGCACTTAATCAACCTGATCTTAGAAGACTAAGCAGTGTTGGCTCATAATTGGAAGGAAAATATCAGGAAATTCCAGGCTCATAGACTAGACTGGAATGTTGGAAAAACATCTTGTGGTTTCTAATCATCTAAGCCCAGACATTCTAGATTTTGAAGAGAAAGGTTTAAGGATAGGTTCACAAATTATTCCATAACCTAGTGTTTGGTTTTGATTCAGATCTGGATCTCATTCCTTCTGCAATGGTCTCAGGCTGCATATGCTAAGTGACAATGTGATGCTGGAAGGAAGAGCTAAGGAGCCTGACCAGTTGTGTGGCCAGTCAGGAAG